TACTAATCTATTTTATTACCAGAGTACTCAGGATCCACAGTAGTATAATGAAGAGCTGGTTTGCATGTACTGACTGGTTTCCAAATCTCCAATATCTGTGTAATGGCCTGTGCAATAACCATGGTCCAGCAAAAGCACTTGTTCAGGCACTGTTCTCAGCACGCACATGGTCCTATCAAACTGATGGACATCTGCCTGCAGACATGGAGAGAAGGGACATGGGATTTTTCAGGAGTTTAAGCATTGGATTTCTGCATGCTGGACCATTGCTGGTTTCTGCTGTCAACACTACTACCTCTAAAATGCTCTGTAAAGCAGGCATTTTACAGATTAGATATTCCTGCTCTACATGCAGCATTTATATTTACAGAAAACAACTCTGCAGCAGAGCCTCCATCATCAGGACAGGAAATTTCTTGACTTGAAATCTTATTCACATGTAAACCTGAGCATTCAGATATGTGTATAAATTAACCAAGATATACAGTCTTCTGGACTCATATGTCAATAAGCTTGAATACCTTTTTAGAAACATTTTTTGTGACTACTTCTTGCTATTCAGATCACTGGCCAGACATGCAGTCTGGAATTCACCAAAGTCAGAGCAGCATCGTGAGAAAGCACAGGCTGCTCCATACAGTCTCCAGTAACAGTTTGGGAAATTTTCAATCATGTTTACCTTGCATATAATACAGGATGACTCCTCAAATGAATTTTTAAAACCCATTTTTTCCAGTGTAACTCACAATTAGAGACTCTCTTCTCTGTTGTGAAGTGTTTATTTTGTTCCACGCTGATTTGCAGTGTCCCTAATGAGCACTTAACAAGATATCAATTAATCATGCAAATGGGAAGAAATAGATATTCAGATGATTGCATTACCTGGAGCTAAGATTTGGGATTTCATATAGTTAGCTGTCTCTTACTTGTTGTGGGATTTTTTTTTTTAGTTTGGTTTCCTTTTGTTTTTAATGATTTTCATGACTTTCTGCTTATGCTGTTAAACAGATGCTCAAGACCTCCCCTGCATCATGGTCTCACTGGTCCTGAAAAGACGCATTTCTGGCAAGACATATTTCACATTAGATGCTAAGAATGTGCCCATGTGTCACGAGTCCTGTTCCTTCAGAAAGCCTGCACCCTCCCACATGCATGCTGTCCAGATGATCGGCACATGTTTGCAAATCCAGCTTTTCTCCGAAATACTGAGATTTCTGGGAACAGACAAAGTAACTTTGTAGTTCAAAAGGAATAAATGTCATTTTGTGGTCATTCTGGACATGGCACAAACAGATACAAGGTATTTGCAGTGCGTAACCCCCAGTCACACTCCTTAGTCATGGAGTTAGTTTGGAAATACTTTTAAAATATCAGGATAAAACTCTCGAATTCTCCATATACACGTGGACAGTGTTGCTTTGCAGAAAATGAGTCCTTGCATGCTCAGCAGTGTTAGGACTTCATCTTGGGTCATCATCAGAAAAACCATAAGCAGTTTCAAGCCTGTTAAACCTCAGTATTTTTTTCATCATCAGGCAAAGAGACTTAGGGATTCTGTATTAAACTATCCTAGAGAATTCATCAAGGACAACCAAATTATTTCCCTTGTATGACTGCTTAGAAGGATAAATCTGAGTAATCGCATAGATTTAGAGGGCTGCTACTTATGATGATCGAAACATGAACTCCCAAGCAGAGTCAGAAAAGGGGCAGCATTGCTGTTAAATTTCTGCTTAGGACATTCCTTAGCTGCCAGGCTGCCCAAATCAGCTGGTTCACATGGAGTAGATGCAGGTATTCCTGGATGCTTTGGCTACCCAGCTGTGTTTTTTGATGAGGGAATCAGATTGGTGTGGTGTAAGCCTGGGGAGAGGCTGCAGGGACTTAAGAGGACAGCAGGCTCTCAGGGAAGCTTCCCAGAGGAGATCTCTGCAGTTTCCTGAATCACCCATTTAGGGCAAATCTCCTCCACCACGACCACAGTTACAGAAATCCCATGCCAAAACCAAGGAGGTCCCTGGGAGGGCACAGCATGCAAAGGCAGTAGCAGGGCTCAGAGACAGGGCTGTTGGCCACATGACTCCTGCATGGCTCCTCCTTGCAAAGCTGTGACCTGTGCCACTGTCCCAGGGGACGATGCAGTCCTTAAGTCCTTTCCTCTTCCATCCACTGGGAATTTCCCCTCATTAATTTGATTTTGCAGTTCTGTGTTTTCCTGAGTATGCGCCTTGATTTTGCTGTCTTTTTTCTCTCTTTTTTTTTTGTTTTTTTTTATTCTTCTTGGCAAAACTTATCCAGTGATTATTTGAAAGGCTGCGACAGCATCTAGGCTTGAAATTGCTTAATTGCTGTTTCCTGTACTTCTCATTTTCAGTTCCCTAAAGACTGTATCAATTTATTGCCTGTTATTCCCAATGACAGAGCAGTGTTTTGTGTGTATGCTTCAACAAGACATTTTAAAGTCTCTTACTACAAGCTGAAGATCTAGCTTTTCATCCTGGTTTGCTCTTTGTTCCTGTTGGCCCTGAGGAATTCTCACATACAGCACCAATGGTTGCAGGCAAGACAACCTATCTATCTGTCTACCACTAAGCATGCTCAAAGTTTTCCTATCATATATTGTTTTTAATTTAAATGATAAATTACTGTAATTCCTCATAAAAAAAAGCCAATAAAATTCCACCAGTAATAGTGTTATAAAAAGTTTTGAGTTAAACCATACATAGATACAAAAAAAGTAAGGACAACAGAGACAGGCAGGAAAGCAAAATATCAATGATGTGAACAGGTGAGAGCAAAGAAAAATAAAGTAGGCATAAATTAACTCACACTTATACCAGGGTAAATTAGAAATTAGTCCCCAAAACCCAATGCTACAGTGCTGTTGAGATGTATGATCAAATGCTACAATGCTGGGTGTACGATCAAATCCAGGATGGTTTTACTGTTGAAGCAGTTCCTAACCTTGGGACAAAGACCCTGCCATTTAATGCAGTTACTCAAAATAAAGCAAGGACTCTCTTCAAGTCAATCTGTGTTATAGTTTTGTGAGTATTTATTAGTGCAATAAGAAGGTAACTAGTGTATCACTTTAAATAGCACTAAATGATTTTCCTGTTGGAGACAAACTCACTTGTTTTCTCTGTTCATTTTCTGATGCCTTTGCTTTCAAATGCTTGAATCTGCTTTTTAGCATTGAAAGATGAGGAATGAAGACCTGTTTCAGACTCCTCTTCACCATAGTGTGTTTCCAAATGTTGACCTGCTACATACAAGCTGTTTTTGTTTAGGAGGGATTCAGAGTGGTCTCTGCTGTCCATACACTCTCAGGAGTCCGTTGAAAAATCCTCATTTTACTTTATTCTCTTATGTTGATGAGCATTTTACTGGAACGTCAGTCAAACCCAAATTAAACTTTACTGATAAAGTCTGAATGCATTTGAAAATAGGAAGAGTGCTAATAATTTATTTTTAAATGCATTTATCATACTGCTTATTAGGAGTAGTAATATTTTAAAAATAATTAACATTCAAAACCATTTTAAAGTGTTTAGAAGAAATCAATCTTATGAATAGAATGATGTCCAGTGTAGTGTTAGCTCTCTGAAACCATATGACATACTGTTTAGAAGATGACAGGCAGAAGCCAATGTTGAGAAAGGGACTCCTCTTGGCTCCAACAGCTAACGGAAGACTCTTGGCATATGTTCCCTCCAAGAAATTTGCATGAAGCTTGAAAAGGAAATGCTAATGATGTCTTCATAAATTCTCCTCTTTCCTGGCTCTAATGGAGTCATTTCAAGCTTCTGACACCTTAGATTATTACTTGATCACAGTACCTAAAGAAGCTGCTGATACTAATGGTCACTGATATTTCTTAACCATACAAAACAGAATTTGATATGTGTCTCCAGAGGTGTGACCTCTTGTTGACTTTCCATAAGCAACAAACATTCTGTTTTTATTTAAGTACATCCTTTACTATGTTTATCAATTTTGCTAGTTTCATGTAACCTCACTTTCACCAATCATCTGCATAATTCCATTTTTCAGGAGTTAATGTATGGATCCAGAGGTCAAAGTCCCAGTGAACAGCTCCAAGTTCCCCCTCATCAGGGGCACCATCCCAAAGGTGTTGTCCCATATAGGCAATTTTGATATCCTGCAGGTTATCTGAAAAGGTCAAGTCTCAGTTCCAGGACTTATCTTAGACATGAGAACACACTGACCATTGTGTATTTTATCCCTCAGCACAGCTCTCACTTGAGCACCTGAATAGCTCACAGGTTGCACTTCAGTTTGATGCATATTCACATAAAGGGAAAGTTTAAAACTCAAATAACTGCCAGACAGAAACATGGCTGGACAAATGCCAATTTTTGTCCTATTTTATTCAAAGCATTTACAGCTTACTTGGTTACTTTGATGTAGTGCATTGGGTCAAAATACCCACCAAGCGCTTTTTGTTGTGTTTGAGGCATGTATTTAGAATTAGCTTAGACAAGGTGCATTACCCTTGAATTATCTGTGTGAGCTAAAGCAAAACAGATGCAGGAAGAATGTGATTATCTTGGTAATGTTTGTGAAACAGATGCCAGCGCTAGCAGTAGAATAAAGCACCCTTCTATGTTACTAATGTTCTTGCCATCAGGTTAAAAATACACTGCACATCCACCACCTCCTTACTCAGTCTACTGGATAGATATGTGAAAAAATATTGTTAGGAAAAGGTCATATCAGAAATATCTATCTAAAATAAGGTTTATCCACTGAAACACTGAACAGACTTTGGCTTCTGACTCCTACAGCATCACATCCCACAGGTCAGAAAAAAATAAAGAATCACATTTCTGTTCTCTACGCTTTCTTTTTCAATTTCTTTTCCTTTAATACAACATACTCTAAAAGGACAAAACCGAGCACAAAGTACATGAGACCGGGCATGATCCAGGCTCCCCCCTCTGCAGGAATTTAGCCATTTCTCTCAAGCTTACCATGGGTTTGGTGATTGTTGAGCCCACATGAAGGAAAACAAGATGAATAGATACACATACCCCAGCCACGGCTCTGCCCAGGTTGCCCCGGTTGTTTGGGTGGCAGGGAGGAATGGGGCAGCCAAATCATCATGGGGTTGGCAGATGATGCTGACCTCAGAGGTCCTTGTGGGGCAATTTCTTCTGCCTAAGAGCGATGAGGTGACAGGTAGGTGCTTTTCAGTGCTGACTGAACTCCACGCATTTTTTTTTTCCAAAGGTCCTGGATGAGGCTGGTAGATGCTCTAGTCTGGTGTTAGCATGTACATCTTGACCTCATCAAGGATCATTTTGTCCAGCACAGGAGCTGTTGTCCTGAACTTTGTAGCCAGGAGAAAATCCCAAAACATCCCATTAAAGTACAATTTTACCTGTCTCAGGGTCTGGTATCACTCTTGCACAAACTGGGTTGGGGCCATGGCCTCCCTTAGCAGGCCCTTCATCCTGCCTGAAAGTACCATGTTACCTGACATCTTGCTTGGTCCATATGTACGTAATGCAAAGAATAAAGGGACTTCATTCCTCCCTGTCACTGGAAATAAACAAAATAGATAGGGAAACTAGGGCTGTGCAAGTCATACCTGATGCAAAGTTATGATGTGAGATGAAACAGGAATGTAAGCACTTGTATACCTTAACGCTCAGCCCGAAGTAGGCTGGCAACTGTGGGCATTTTTCCAGGCATGATTCCTCACAGATTTCAATCCCTGGTTAAAAGAAAAAGAGAATCCTTAAAGATGTCACACATTTGCCTAGCAAAGAAAATTGGTAAAAGAAAGATAAAAAACATGTATATTTCTGTCACCAGGCTTCTGGGAAATAAGTATAGAGCTCTATTTTACTCTTCAGCACTGCATGAGAAGCAGAATGCAAAATTTCCTCCTCGAAATACTTTGGCACAAGCAACTATTCTGCACTATTTGTTTAGAAATCCAGTGGGGCTTCACAGAATAAAAGCTAGTATCTTCATACTGGTAGTTGAAATAAGAACTAATTTCATGCACAATTGACAGCGCAGAAGGAAGTTCCTTAATATCCAAAGAGCAAAAGATTTTATGAGGCTGCATATGTATTTATGATTATTTAAGGTTCTTGTTATAATGAGGATCCTTTAAGGAGAGGAATTTTGTATTTTAATTTGCATAAAGACAATAAAAACTCTTTGAGAAGCAATTTCTTTCTATATAAAAAGTGAGAACATAGCACCTTAGTGGCACAGACATCTGTTACTTAAGCAGATGCCACCATGTAAACTCCATCAAGCAACCCTATTCACCAATCAGAAATCACCCAAACTACATCCACAGCCAAAATTCAGTGGGTGGCTGGGAGCCCCCAAAACAGGTTGAGAAATGATGGGCTTTTCTTCAATGCCCTCATTAAGCATTCAATGGCATTTATTTGTTCATCGCTAATGAACGCTACAGTATCATATGGCTCTGTAGCGGCTCTTTGGTATAAAGTTAATCCATATGATGTACAGTCTGCAATTCTTGCTCATGAGATTCATATCAAAGGAGCACTAGCCCTTCGACACATGAGATAAATAGCCATTTCTTTGTTTCTTATTATGGCCGTGGTTCAGTGTCCTCACTTGGGAGCTGATATATCAATATCTCTGAAAGAGATTAAATATTGCCTGCTTAAGTGTACATGCAGCAGTACAAACTCAGAGGACTGTATTCAGCAGCTGAGCTGCACTGGAAAGTCTGGGGCTGATAGGCCCTTTCTGAATTTAGCTTACACTTTAAATCAGGAGTTCATGAAAGGCGTTAAGAAAAACTATTATATTACTAGAATGGATGGCAGTACAGTTTATATGTAACACCTTGAAATAAGCAGTAGGATTTTCAATCACTTGATAACCTTGAAACTGCTAAGGTATCAAATTGCTATCATGAATATTGTGCAGGAACAGAAATAACTCAGAAAGCTGCCTTTGTGAATAATAATGTGGGAGAAAGCAATGTTCTTCCGGGCTAGACTCACAATAGCACCTACAAGCAAATATACATGAAGGCAAGGCATGTACTTAAACAAGCATATTTGCATTTGACTATATATCAATCAGTTATCAGTACAGCTACATCTTACCTGACCCACAGAGAAAATAAAATGCATGCTAGATAACTTTACCATGCAGAAAAAAAGTAAGTGCAAGAAACTCATTTTTATATATGCAACTGAAACTATTGGGATAAAATACCCTTTGATAGGCATTACATCTTGAGCAAAGTATTTTAAAAAATGCACACAGTACAAACCCTTCTATGCAGGAACAGAAATCCTTCCATTCCATAACATAAAAATCCAAACCATATCTTCCTGGTTTGCATGCAAGACATGTTAATAAATCCTAAGCTCCGCTCCTTACTTCATTCATTCTGGATGAAAACGCAGAGATTTCCTAAGGAAGAGGAAAATCTCAGCCATCCCTCCAGACTCCCATGTTTAAGTCCTGAATGAGTGGAGTTTATACCAAACTCCATTTTTGTTCTGAAGTACACCACAGCTTTAGTCTTGTGGCATTTTCAGGTGACACAGCCTACTGAGATCCTGTGACAGCCATGTGAAAACTCAGTGTCTGGAGTGATTCATCATTGTGTCAGATTGTCCTGCACTTTGTCACAATGACTGACAATAGGGGAAACTTGGAAATAATACAAAGATTCAACCCTCACTGATAATGCCTGCATTGTGATTCGAGCAGGCAGCGAGCATGTGAGGAGAATGCTAATTCTGTCCCCCACCCCCAATTTCATACTCCTTTTCCTTTCAACAGCTGGGCGTCTGCACTTGCTTTCTTAATCTTCACTCCTGTGGCATGTTTAAATGCAGAACCTTTTTTCTAGTGTGTTAAAGAGCCATATTATTACAAATGCAAAAAGAGGCAATGTTGCACAGAAGGGTAAATTCTGCCAGCAATGCCAGGCACTGCTTGGCAGGACTGTCTTTGGGTGGATGCGCCCTTCTCTCCTAAAAGCAAACCTTACCAGAGTATGTCACCAGCACCTGAAATAACAGTAAAAGCATTTTGAGCAGTAATCCCAGTAACACTACAAAACCCAGCAAGCTCATGTGAATTTGCATGTGGAGCAGGATCTTGCTAAAGGGGCTCATAAAAAATGATTACAGAGAAATTATGGAGGAAACCTCTCCTATGAAGACAGGCTGAGAGAGCTGGGCTTGTTCAGCCTGGAGAGAAGGGTCTCAGAAGAATTTAGAGCAGCCTTCCAGTGCCTAAAAGGGACTTACAAGAAAACTGGAGAGGGACTTTTTACAAGGGCAGGTAGGGATAGGACAAGGGGGAATGGCTTTAACCCAGAAGAGAGGAGATTTAGATCAAATATTAGGAAGAAGTTCTTCTCTTTGAGGGTGGTGAGGCACTGGCACAGGTTGCCCTGAGAAGCTGTGGCTGCCTCATCCCTGGAGAAGCTTGAGGCCAGGTTGGATGGGGCTTTCAGTAACCTAGTCTAGTGTAAGGTGTCCCTGCCTATGGCAGGGGGATTGGAACTGAGTGATCTTAAGGTCCTTTCCATCACAAACCATTCCATGATTTCATGAATTTTTTCCTTTATTTTGAATTGACTTGCAATAAAGGTTTAAAATAATTGCTGACTCGATAGGGTACGGAACCACAAAAGGCCAGAAAAAGTGGTTGCAGGAACTTTCATGCTCTAAAGCTCTTCAAGTTTTATCAGTGTTCACAGCAACAAAGACCAGAGACTCAGCTGTGTAATTAACTGGGAGGAAAAGAGAGGCCCTTTCTGAGAGCTCCAGCTTATTTTGCTGGGTGAAGAGTAGGAGGAAAAAGCCAGAGGCAAGAACCAGCACATCAAACATCGCTGCCTTCAAAACAACTAAAGGCAGCAGAATTTCTCCCATTTTTATCAATAGAAAAGGAACAAGTGCCTCCAGCTTCTGTCCCTTGCCCAGGAACAAGCCAGCACGTTGCCCCGGGGTGTGTGGTATGGGACAAACCGTTCCAGAGGATTTGCCGTGTGGTGACTGGTGGGGTCATGCTGCATCACAGGCTGAGATGCAGGAACGGGCACTGGTCTGTGGTGAGCAGGGTGAAGGTACATGGCTGCAGCTACTGTGGGTGACGTGGACTGTAGACTACATAATTAACTGTTCTAGTTTCTTATGGGAGAAAAGGGAAGCTCTATTTGGAAGACAAGACATGGGCAAGTGACAAACAACCACCCTTACTCTGTCTCTCCTTTAATTCTGCCTTTTTTGCTGCTTCTGGGAAGAGGCTCATGAGGGAGGCTGGTCTAGTAACTGAGTAAAAAGCAGGTTTAGAAGAGAAAAGACAGCAATAGCTCTGAGCTCAGCTGATGATGAAAATTCTATTTTGTTTCCCATTTTAAAAGTGAAAATCTCTCTGAAGAATATTACCTGCTTACAAACTCAGAGGACATTTATAATTTTGGAGCTCAGTCCCACAAACAGCCCATTTAATCAGATGTGCAACAGTGTGCTTTAGAAGCTGGGCCTTTAGAATTGAAAATAAAAGAGAAAGGAATTTCTGATGGAAGAAAAAGAATGATCCAGTTATCTAATTGGCACTAGCAGTGTATTTTTTTCTTTGAGCAAATACCAAGCTTAATTCAGAAGAAAAGACAGGCAAACCTCCTGCAGCCCACTACTCTGCTGTAAGCCATTGGCTCTTTGTATGCAGAACTGCATGATGCCAAAACTGGTTCAACACATCAGAGAGAAACTGGGGTCTGATTCTGGTCTTCTTTATGCTGATATAAAACTGGAAAAAACACAGGGCAAAGTGGAGTCACTCTGAACTGGCACTGGTATACCTGAAAAAAAAAATGAGACCAGATTAAAACCATCAGTAGAAAGTTATTTGATTTTCAGTGACTACAGCTCAAAGTGGGGTAGGCTTGTGTAAGCTGGAAGCTGAAGTCACTAAGGTTGCTTGTGTTGGAGCATAAAAGGCTTTCTACTTTTTCACTGCAGTTGGCTAACGTTTTGTCTCTAAGGAATATGGGCACAGAGCTTGAAAATGTTTAGTGAATTCATACATTAATTTAAGCTCAATAACACATTTCCATCCCTAACTGTAACACTGCTTGGGGAAGAAAGGTATATGGTTTTTCTGCTGAATATGGTTAATTTCAGGATGGTGAGGATGAAGGAACAGGATAGGCATTAAAACAAACATCTACACAATAAACAATCTGTATATGAGAATGATCTCAGTTTTCCATTAAATAAAGCTCCACAAACATTGCAAGCTGAGGGACAGAATGACTTTACTGATGTTGAATTCGTCATTCACTTCGTTTTCTTTAAAATGGGCAGTAAAAGAAAAGATATGTTTTTTCACTCTGTTGCTTTGGCAAGATGAGTTTGAACCATCAGCTTAAGGTCTCTGGACCTTTAACTTGTGACAATGGTGATGGAAGATGCAAGTTTCCTAAAATGTCTTAACAACCACTACAGCATCTGTCCATGTAGATATTAAAGATATAGTCAGTGAAAGCAATACAAATCCACAATGAGATTAGAATCTAAACAGCTGGGAAGCAATTGCTATGTTCAGTCATTCAGGTGAAATCACTGCTGGCCTTTGGACTACCTATTACATTTTTTCCCCAGTTGTTTCTTTCTTATAATTAACATCTAGTATCAAGTACAAGATTTTTAATTTTTTTTTTACAAAAAGCACTCTTCCATATGGATTGCAATTATCTTTGAAATATTTTAATATGAAGAAAACAGCAAAAAATAAAGAGCAGTTTCAGTTTTAATGTTCCAGTTTAATTAAGAAAGTGTTCAAGTAATTTAAAAATGTAGGCATTAAAATACCAATTAAGCTTAAGGCAAGTTTTCCTATTAATTCTGATGACACCAGTACAGGGGTGTCACACAAAGGTGACCCCATAGAAACAGGTTAAATTGAGAATTATATTTGGCTATATGGGTGTTGTGAGAAAATGAATTAATTTATGCAGAAACTACACCTATTTGGCTAACTGCAGCAGGCTGAGCCTTGAGAACCATGATGCAGCTCTCACAAGTAACTTGGTAAACGTAACCTCTCTTTGAGGTTTTAATTCCAGTTTTTATTTCTCAGACATCCACTTTGGGTGACCATCTTGTTGAAAACTGAAAATATTTAAACGTTTTTAACTGCACTGTGTGAACACAACTGAAATCCACTGCTTGAAATAATGGCTGTTCTAAAGTGCAGTAATTATTTTTAAAACCATTTATTGTTTTGTGTTGGTGGCTGAGTTATAAATGTACCATTTTAACACATTAAAATTCATTTATTGCCTGAAATTCTAATGCAGGAATACTGCAGGTTTTCATGGGTGGTAGTGACATTAAGAAAGCAGAAGTCCATATATCTGATCTGAGTATTTGCAATTAAAATTTTGTGGGTAGCTGGGCCCTTTAAAAAGCCCAGAATACATTATCTTGCTGGAACAGTTACTGGAAGTATCCTTACAGACCCAGAGAAAGTAATTCTCAAAGCCAGCTTGGTTATGATGGATTTAAGTTAAATTGATCTCATTTCATTTTAGATCTTAAATTGGTTAATGGGGCTGAAATACGCTTTATTTCAGGGAAGTTGTATGGATCTGGACAAGTAACAGAATTTATGCTGACGTACAAGTCGAGTGCAAATACCACCATCACTTCTTCATTACCGCGTTAACTGGTGTGATATGTTCTGCTCAGCAGAACTTGGACAAAATGTCAGGCTCCTAAATGAAGAAGCTCCCGTTTCTCTGTGAGAAACCAGCTGATTGGTTAAAAGTACTTCAACCTGTATTTAATTCATGCCTTAAAAGTGCTCTTTGGCAGGAGCTCTTGGGATCTGATCTTATGTCACATTTACTGAAACTCATTTAATTATTTGCAGCTGAGGAGGGCAGGGAAATGGTTATCGCACAGGGAAAATCCAATCCTTTATCAGCTTAAACCCCAAACCAGGGAAGTCAGTGAGGATTCCTAACTAGTACACGACCCTTTCTTTTTGGTGGCTTTATATAGGAGTGATTTCTTCCAGAAATTGAGAGGGATTTTGCAAGCACATGTCCACAATCTCTGCGAATGCAGACCCCGTCCTGGAAGTCTCTAAGCTGCTGCTCCTTGACATGCTTCAGTCAGCAACAAAGACATTAACATTGGGATTTCAAATATCCCCAGTGGTTCTTCCAGTTGCCAGACAAAATGAATGGAGCAATTTGGATACTCTGCAAACTGAGGCAGCCACTACCAAAGCAGGGGCCACCCAGACACACTGCCACAATGGTGCAAAGGGCCCCACTGCCTTTGGAGCACAAGTTAATATCAAGTTTTAATAAAATCCAAACTCCTGCCATGGATTTCTAAGTGTTTTTCAGGGATTCCGGGTGGAAAAAAAAAAAAGAAATTATATGCATTGTACTAATGGGTGGTAAAAGGCAAAACCAGATGTATTCTGCCCTTATG